TAACTCTGTTCTTGATCAGCCTTCACAAGGCATCAGTATCACAGGCATGGGAGTATCTCTGCTGAAATGCTCAGGGCAATGTGAGGGCTGGCACACACACACATGTTGGGTGTTGGGGAGGTTTCTGCTCTGGCAAACAGCAGCTGGAACAAGCAGAGGTGCTCCTCGCTGCTCTGGCTCCAAACAAAACTTCCAATTTGTCAAACAGAGTGTAGAAGTGAAACCAGACTGCAGTTTGATGCTTCTCCAGTGAAACACTTGTAATTTTCACTGTATTCTGTTACATCATAGGAATCCAGCCAATGTGGAACTCACAGAACCACAGGGAGCAGCAGCAGCTGCCCAGAGCTGTTTGCTGAGGCTTGGTGCCACAGCCTTAAGTGCTGGACATGCACAACTGGGTGAAATCTCTGGTTTTCCTGGGAAGCAAGAGCTCACTAGGTTTAAATTAACCCTAATTAAAGCTTGGGAGGAGCTACATGCCAGTGACAAAGCTGGGACAGCCCCACGTGAGTTTGCACAACCAGCCTGCTCTATTCTGCACACAATAGCTCACTGTACAGGGCCTGCAGGGAAGGGCCATGGGAGCACAAGATGGGGAAAACAAGGAGGCCCAGAGAAGGGGCACAGTTTATTTAATGTGTTATTTAGTGGTGTTTTACTTTCCAGCATCAGGCATGAGTGGCACAAGGAGCTGTGAGAGCAATGCAACCATCAGCTCCCTGCAGCAGCCATGGCTGGGGGTGTTGCATTTCTTTGTGGATAATGGATGATGGAAAAAAAAAAACCATTATCCATGAGGAACCAGTGGCAGAAGAAGATGTTCGATGTCTAAAATGGATGTTACAATAGTTTAAAGTGGACAGCTGGGACGTTGAGGAAAAAGCAAAAATACACAAATATGTACAACAGGACTTTCAGTTTGTCTGCAAACTGCAGGAGCAAGAATCCTTTGTCTTATTTATTAGCATAAAGTTTTCCAAATTTTTGATTTTTTTTTTTTTTCTATTCAGTGTGGAATAAAAGCCTTAAATTAGAACAGTAAACTTTTCTAAGGCCTCAAAAGCCCAGGGATTCCACAGTGCACCAAGGGCAAAATGCATCTGCCAAACTTTCTATTTTTACCTCTTTTAAGCTATTTTAATACCACTTCACTTGGGAAAGAAAACAAAGTCCCTTTTGCTGTTAATAATACACTATTCTGCACTTTTGATCCTTATGTTTTGCTTTCTAATTGCCTAAATGTCATGCATGCCTAATAAATTGGATAAAGGGTATTGATTACGCCTCTGGTTTGTGTAGCTAAAACATAGAGTCAATTAATCTGCACTGTATATTTATGAAGATAATCAGTTATTAAAACTGAAAGGAGGCAGGCAGAATTAAGCTGGAGAGTATTTCAGCAGATGAGTCCCTATCCAGTGTACATTCACAAGATTTTCCCAGGCTTGTGTTTCAAAACACTGGAAATCACTGGAGACCTTGAGGAGGTGCTGGGTTCATGTTTTACCTGAAAAAACCCTTTTTTTTTACCAGTTATTATAAAAACAAACAATCAACAACAACAACAAAAGAGGGAAAAAAAGGACAAAATAAACAAACAAACAAAACCCATCCCAAACCCCTTATCAGCCCCCAAAACAATGAAAAAGCTCAAGACTCGGAGCCCTTGATATAAAAGCATATATATACTTAATTTTTTCAAATGCAATCTAAGATAGAACAAGGTAGAGATCTAGGAAGTCATAATGTTTTACTGTGGATTTTTTGTTGTTTTTTTTTTTTAATTAAGGTTGGGATTAAATGTGTGAGATGGTATTTTTTGTTTTGATTTAGATGTTTATTAGATTTTTATTTATATCACAGTTTTTTAAACTGTGAGTTCTATAGTATTTTACCTTAATAAATTAAAAATGAAGTTGTATTTTTAACAAGGCTTTTTAAGGATAAATTGTTTAATTAAATTATATTTAAATTATTTGTATTTTCAATTTCATAACTTGTAGGGGGGTACAATATAAGTAAATAAAGGTAGTATAGCAAGTAATCTTACCCCCTAAAGAGTTGCAGCTGAGCCAATCATTAAGGATTAGGAGCAGGCCTGATGTTAACAGGCCACAGCTGTAGCCAATAAGAAGAAAAAGACTGTTATAAAAGAGTGGGTTGGTGGGAATGGGAGTTCCTTGTCTGCTGTGAGGATAAGGAAGAGTCAGTGCCTGGAGGAGCTGCCTACAAGAAACATCAAGGAAGTATGAAACTCTGGCAATATGGAACCCTTGCAATGTTCTGATAATAGAACTTGTGCAGTGTAATGACAACAATAACTAATTACTTGTTGTTTGTAATGTGGATTTTAAAATTTAATTATATCATATTATTTAAATTTATTAAGAAAGTGAAGAAGAAGGATTTGGTTTTGGTTTAAAAAAATTATTTTTATTTCTATATATTTTGATTTATATATTTAATATAAATATTATTATAATATATATAATAATTATTAATATATATTTTTATATATTTTATTAATATATATTATTTTATATTTTCTTTTATTTTTATTTATATATTTTGCTGTATTCTAAGACTTTAAGTGTTTTGCTATGTAATATTGCATGCTTTTATTTAAACTATATACTCATAATTTTAGGTTTATTGTTTAATTTTGTAAGTTTTTTCTATGATCTCGGGTTAAATGTAGTGTTCTCTTGGGGGTCGGTGTTTGTTAGTACAGAAAGTTTAAAACTCTCAGTAAGCAGGGTTCCAACCTTTCACCACGGCTTTTGCTCCCTAAATTCCCCATGGCTGTGAGAATGTGCAAAGAGAGGGGGTCACCCCACGGGGTTCAGGTGCCCCATTGAGGGCAGTGCCCAGGGCCAAGGTCCCAGTGGGGTCTCCTCATCCCCCTGGGGGAAAGGCGCTGCTGGTGGTCACAGATCAGGGCTTGGAACCTTTCAGGATGTGGAGTTGTGCTGCTGGGAGCTGGGACAGAGGGAAATGTGCCCAGGGTGCTGCTGATGCCTGGGGAAGGCTGCCCTAGAGCAGAGGCTGGGTAGAGTTACAGAATAAAGCAGGGATTTACTAAAAGGATCTCCTCCATGGATGCACCATGGGCAGAAGAACACAAAATGGCCAACCAGTCATGGGGTCTATCACTGGGATCAGTTCTGCTCCATTTGGATCTTGCAGTTCATTGTCCCATTCCAGCTTTAGCCCTGGATGAAACCTCCAGGCTCTAAGGAGCACAAATCCACTGGCAATGGCATCCTTGCTGGGGATTTGGGCCTCTCACTGGACAAAATGTGCTGGCAGGCAAAGAATGATGTGCTGGGAGTTTTTCATGAATGGAATGGGACTGCTGGGAGCTGTTCCTTGAGCTTTGTTGCAGCATCAGCCTCATTACACGGTTGGGACAACAGAAAGATTGGTTAAAAACTCACATGTTGCCAACAGCAGCCAAAGATTTCTTTGTTACAGAGCACTTTAGAAACTTTCTAGCCAATAGCACATTGCTGAGGCTTACAGATGATTGTTGTGGCCTATCACTAAAAGTACACCTACACCTGCTTCACACTGTTTGCTTGTCTGCTCTCTATTAACAATACACAACACTCCATTATTAATTTTAAAACCTCCTATTATCTTGCTAAGCATATTTTCTGCACTCTTAAGGTCTATCTCAGCCAAGCCTAAAACTCAAGCTATTGTTTTATGTCCTTGCTTGTTGTACTATTGTAACTTTTCTGCTTCCAGACTTTGCAGCTGGTTCTGTTTTCTGTTCTTTCTGTTTCTAAGGCCTGCTTTTACAGATTTCTGAAAATCTTCTTACCTTTACTGTTTCCCCAAAAATGACAAAGAATTGGGCTTGTTTTCTGCCTTTCCTTTCAACTTCTTCTTAATAATAGCAGCATTTGCTTCTTTGAGGAATATGTGTGCACCCTGCGTTTATGGTTTTCTTTTCACTCCCGTGTTTTCTGATTCTCTAGGATAATCTGAAGGAGCATGAAAATCTTTAATCTTGATAAGAAAAAAGTTATAATTTCAAGTCTGACTTAAAGCATATCTTCTCAGAGAGAAGCAGCATTTTTAACTTTTAGCTTGGGTCAGTTAGGAGAACATACAACAAAATATTTGCATTTTTCTCATCTCTAATATATACAGTGATTCTGAGAGAAATCATCCTTCTGGTCTCAAGATTTCTAAAATGCTGTGAGGCACTAGAACAGGATTTTTTTCCTCCAGACTAGTTTAAAAACTGTAATATTTTTTTCCCTAGTTAAGGGACCATGTCTAGAATCCTTGCAAATATTAGCAAATTTTACAGGCCAGAAGGATTGCATTTTCTAATTGAAAGCAAATGAAAAACAGCAGTGAAGGTAATTTTTTTTTTCTTCAGGTTTTATTTAAGCAAATAGGTAAAAGGGAAAAGAGAAGCTGAAACTGTGAATTTTTTTTTTCAGATTTACTTTTCAGTTTCGTGACTCAAAGAGAAATGTGCAGCAAGTTCTGCAGCCATTAATATGAAATACTGTGTGAGGGATTCAATTTCCCTCAAGAGGAACTAAATCCAGAGCCAGGACGAACACTGTAGTCCCAGCTCCACAGGGAAAAGGGAAGGAAAAAAGACAAGAGAAATTGAAAAGGAGGAGAGAAAGGGGAAAGGGAAAAGGAGAAGGAAAAGAGGAAAGGGAAAAGGAGAAGGAAAGGAAGGGGATCCCAGCCACATTCTTTATCATTTATTTCTGGGATGCCTTTTTCTAACTTGCCCAAAATAACTTGGGTCTAATCACACCTCCAACTTCACCATGAATGTCACTGAACTTCTCAAGGCTCTCCCCTAAAACTAATAATTAAAGACAAAATTGGAGGTTTCAAAACTGATGCTTCAAAAACTCAGTTTCATTTCATTAATTCTCCCTGCGCCCCTTCTACTTCAATTAGAAATTTTTTCATATATGCTAAAGTTCATCAATTATCATATTTCAGGGTCTTGGCAGGCAGTTTAAAAATAATCCCATAGCCTTTGGAGCTTTGATTTCAGAGGATTCATTCAGTGTGCTCTGGGGCTGTTGTGTAACTACCATGCTTGTTTGTCTGACAACAACAAGTTAAAATCAGATTTTTTTTTTTCTTCATTCTTTTTGTTTAAATGCATTTTCACTGTCACTCTGCTGTGGAGCCAGGCAGACAAAGATAAAAACATGGCCAATTGCAAAATCCAGATGGCATGGATGCTTAAGTAGCCATTTAAGTTACTTCATGACAAACATGCATATGTTAAAATTAAGATACTGAAAATTATTATTCTCTTGTTCACCTAACTGATGTGTTGAATTCATTTAAAAGAAAAAAAAATCATGCTTTCTACACATGTAGGCACAATGTAAAAAATTGGAGGAAAAGAAATACAGCAAATACAACAGAAGATGAATTTTATTCTTTTGAGAATAAAAAATTACAGAAAATTCCAGGCTGTTCCTAAGAAACCACATTCCTATAACAGTGTTATGTAGTGGACTACATCTCCTATTACCAGTCTGGATAGATTATGACATCATTCATTTCTATCTATAGATTGCAGATAATACATCATAAGAATAAAATCTAACAAAGGAGGTCATGATATGTAGGATTATGAAGAGAATGAGGAAAGCACAGGTAAAGGTAGGAGCTGAAAGCAAAACCAAATTGCAAAACTGCATTTTTTGTTGCTGGGGTTTTATTTTTGCTTGGTTTGGAGTTGTTGGGGTTTTCTGTTTAAAAATGGAACACAGCTATTTTGTCCAAGTTCCGTACACAGAGATCCCCATGAGAACTGTTGTTGCTCCTCTGCCAGGATATCAGATAGAGAATATCAGATCTCTCTCTGCAGCTCTTCTTCCTCCTCCCCTCAGCCCCTGTGATCTCTGATTCATCCTCCAGGGACAGAGAGCAGAGCCAGCCTTGGTAAGGAGACTGAACCAGAGAGGAGATGCCATGTCAGCAGTGCATGGAGGTAAAACCCCCTCAGATAACCCACCCAGCCCTAAAAAAGAGGATTTCCAGAGGGTGGGAAGGTACAGGAGGTGTTCTGCCTCCCAGCAAGGCTCCAGGATGGCTGGCAGGCAGAGAAGGAGGCCCTGGATTTTCAGAGCTTGTGACACAGCTCTGGCCTTGGCCTCCCTCTGCAAGCACTTAAGGGCATCTCTAAAAAGTTTTCCTTCCCATGTTCCTTATCAAAAAGAAGTCACAATCTGGCCGTTAAATCAAAATTCAGTCACACATTTCCTCCTCCCAGCAGGACTTCTGAGCTGCCTTTATTCCTTCAGAGCCAAACAAGAGGGTGATGAATGGAGATATTGTGGCATGGGAACAGAGCCTGGGATCTGCCTGATGTTAGGCAGAAATGAGAATCCAGTGTTCTTTTGGAAGTACCACCCTTGCTAATCCCACAGGATTAACAGAGCCATCTCTGGGGGAAGGGGCTGCTCCACTCAGCCTCAGACTGGGGCTTTGGAATGCAGAACTTCACACATAAAATAATCCTATAAACCAGGATGAATTCAATGATTATGAACTTAGGAAAAGTCCATTTTGAAGAGCACGTCATAGGAGTATAATCAACCCACCTCATTCTTATCTGCAACAGATCTTGGGTTAATAGAAGTAGGCTGAGTGTCTGGCTCATGCTACTACTTATATTGCAATTTTCACTCCAAATAATTGCAAATTACTTTACAAATTATCTACACAGCCTGCCTGACCACTTTAAAGCAACTGCTGATAGGGACAAGCTCAACCAACATCAAGAGCTGTCAGGGGATATGCAGCTGGTGGAAAGCTGTGTCTGGAGTGACCAAGATTCAGTTTGCTAATCTAAAGAGTGACTATCACTGCCTGCTGTGATCCACTAAACAATGCAGAGGTGACCAGAGAAAATGATGATAGAAAATTTCAAAGTTCCTTCTGTATAAACAGGAGACATCTCTACCCCAACGTTGCTACAAGGTGCAGTACTTGGTTTCCAAGGTTTCATCTCAAAAGGAAACCTGTTGAGTAAATTGTGAGATTCATTCTCTGTATTCCAGAATAGTGAAAGGCTCAGGGCATCTCACAGGACTGAAAGCATTTGGGTATTTTAAATGTGATGCTTAAGAGACTAAACCACCCTCTCTGGGAACTGAGTTAATGTTTCAATTCCAATTCACTTAAAAGCATCTTACTGGTGAGACAAGGTAGAGGCAGGTTGCCAGAGCCTGAGGTAGGTATTCCAAGTGCTTGTCAGGGGTGGATAATGCAGCACACTGCTGGTTTTTCATGTTTCATCACCACAAGGAAGCACTCTGTTCCCAACCTGCTCCTGGAGCCATGGGAGAAGCTGTTCCCCAGCCCTCGGTGTGTGATGGATGCTCTCGGGAGGCTGCAGTGAGATACAGCACCCCTGAGGCTGAGAAAACTGCCAGGTAAAGCTGAGGAGTTCAGGAAACAGGATATCCATCCATTCTATGGAATGGACCACAAAGGAGAAACTGCCTTGCATTAAATCAGCTGCTGGTTTTCTGAAGAGGAAGAAGCAGCAGAGGGACTGAAGTACTGCTGTAATAGTGGAGATTTCTTTGAAATCCATCTGTTGCTGCTCAGGGGAAAATCCAGAGTGCTGCATTCTGCAAGAGCAAATCAAGTTGTTTTCTGAGAGAGGGGGTGAAAGGGATGCCTGGATTTCAAAGTTTTTTCCTACTGAGCAAAACCTGTGATGGTTCTTGTGTCTCACCTACTCCTGCTGGCCAAAGGGAGTTTGTTCCTCCAGGTGACCAATGCAGGACTGGAACTCAGATATTGCTTTGCAATGCCTGCAGAGACCACCACATTTTCTGAAACTCCCCATTTACAACTCCCTAGTTAAAATTAGCTATATGCTAATTCGTCCTTTAAAAATTAGCAGCTCCGTGCAAATTGAAAACAGATGTCTGTGTCTCCAGTCAGTGCTAGTTAGTTGAGGCACTCCTTCCTCACACAACCTGCTGCTCCTTGTCCCCAGAGCCACAGCCCCAGTGCCTCACACACACCTCTGGAGCTTGCCAGTGATCATTTCTGGCATTTTATTATTGTTTTCTTTAGTGAGGTGCCAGACTCTGGGGATTTGAAATGCTGGGCCTGAAGCCAATCCTCTGGGCTTTTTGAAATTTGCTTGTAAGCAGTGTAAACCTCAGGCCACTGCTGTGGCCAGGTGACAGATTCTGCCTCTTGGCTGGGAGCAGCTCTCAGTGGATGTGTTGCTGGGACAGAGCGTGCATGTAAATGGAGCTGCTGGCAGTGAGGATGAGCACTGACACTGCCTGAAAATGCTTGATGCTGTGGGGTCAGTGATGCAGGCAGAACCAACTTTTCCTGAGTTATTTCATCACTGAAAGTCCACACTTTCAGCCTGCACACTTTTAATTCTTTATTAAAGTGCTGCACTGGTTTTAAGTGGGACATTTGAAATGGCTTTACAAAGGTCCTTGCTGAGCAGTACCTGCAGTGCTGCTTCGTTACTGCCCATAACACCCCAGTGAATCTCAGTACCTGCAGAAAAATGACAACAATTCTCCTTTGCAGAGTGTCGGCTGCAAGGGGGGAAAAGCAAGCTTAGTGGAAATATAAATAATAGATTCTAATAGTCACAGCTGTTCATAAATAAGAAGATCTATACAAACACAGTCTAGTGGAACAGGCACATTTCTCTCCAAGACTGACTTGCTGCATGATTTTGAAGGAAACACTTTGTCACTTTTTGGCTCAGCTTCCAAATATGAAATATACACTGATAGGATTCTTGCCACCCAATGTAAATAAAATGCTTTGAGAACATGAATACAAATGGATGTATAAATGCTAATATATTATTTTCTAGCTAAATCCAGATTCTGCAAATGCAAACAGAGAACGAAGATGGATTTTTGTTTTTTGTACATCTGTGCCACTAGTGGAAGTTTTGCAAGCCAGATTAGGTCCTTGGGGACATAAGTGCATTCCTACTGCTCACAGTGTGTTTGTACAGTTGCAAAGTGGCTTAAGCTACTAAGCAATTCAGCTCATGGGTGTACAAAAAATAACAGCCATCATCCTGCCCTGTTAGATGCATGGCTTCTCCAGAGCTAAGCAAAGGGAAAATTGCACCCAAAATATGAGAAATCAGGAGATAAATGATTCATAAAACACAGAAGGAGTTTACAGCCTTGCAGGGATGGGGAGAGACCAGCTCTGCCTGGAGAAGCTATTGGCTTCCACCAGCAAAATATTTCTGCTCATTCTGCTTGTTAAGAAATTGTTCTCAAAATAGCAAGAGGCTTCACTTAATTAAATGTTAGCAGGTCTCTGCATAATTTATATTTCATTTTGGTCAAAAGTCAGCTGAGAACCCCAGAATACTGTGGCAGGGCTGCGTGCTAAATTCTCCCTTCGTTTCCAGGCCTGCAGCTCCACTGAGGTCTACAGAATACCTTGTGATGATTAGGTCTTGTTAAATCCATTTAACATAGAAGATGACACATTGGAAAGCTGAATACCTTGCCCAAGGTCAGTGACACAGCAGGGAACTGAATTACAAGAAAATGACAAGTTCTATTTGCTTGCTGAATTCACTGGACTCATTGAAAATTTAATTTCTGCTCTGCTGACTCACGGGTGGCCACATAGGTGTGGCTGCAGCATAAAAGGGTTTTAAAGTCTTTCTAGGGACGCTGCTGAATCACATCATCTTGTCTGGGCCTATTCTGTGTGTAATTTCAAAAAGGATTGCCAGGTCTGGCTGTGGAGATAGCAGCTGTTCAAACTGAAATATGATGCTGCTCCTGCTGCCATCGAGCTCTACAGTTTTGCTATTAGTTCATAAACAGTTATTCTCCTTCTCAGGTTAGCCACAAAAATGTCTCTCACTTAAAGAACAATACTTTTCAATAAGGATAGGAAAACAAAGTTAGAGGTGTATATTTACACATGATCCATCAAAACAAATAATTTGAAGGTTTAAATGCACTTTTTAATTTTGAAGTGTACAGCTTTTAAAATATTTTTAGAGTCTGCATGACTCAGGAGAATAGTAACAGCATCTATGTACTTTTTTTTTTATTATTTAGTATTCCCATCCAGCCTGGGGTCATTCTCCTGCCAAGAGTTAGACAGCAAAGGATTTGACATCAGCTCTCACTAAGACTTTTACACATGCCTATACCCAATGACTAGTCCTAGCAAAGCTAGCAGGAATTCTCATGTTGTCAAAATTTAAGCATATGTTAAACCTCTAAAAGATCAGGAGCTACATCAGGTTACTGCTGACTAAATACAGGGAAAACCAGAAGTATTAGAAGTAATCAGGCAATTTAAAAAAAACTTTGCAACAGAAATCAGTCTGTAGTGCTGTATATATAAATATAAATAAATAACCTATAATAAATATAAATATAAAATAGAAGTAGAAAAATAAATATATATGAATATATAAAAATAAATATATAAATAAATAACTTATTTATAACTTATAAACCCTTACCAATAACTATTCCATCTATAAATGAGTGAAACATGCTGTTGACAAACAAAGGATCCATTCATGCCCATGCTTATAAGAGGTGTGTAACTAATATTACACCAGTTACATGATTTTCTATCCACGCTTCACCAATACTTGAGCTTTTTGTCATGGCACTGACATTAAATGTTAAAATAAAGACAAACAGCTTTAAGATCTAATTTTTTTTTTTTCCTTAAAGCCTATTGGCAAACATTTTAGAAGGCTTATGGCAATTTCTTCTTTGAAATTTCTATTCAATCTTATCAGCATTCTGGACAGAGGTTTAGAATATGGGACAGACAACAGCATGCTGAGGCTGAACCCCTTTTTTCTACAAGACAGATTTCACCAGGTGAGAATGAATCTGTGCCCCTTGGGGAACATCTGTAATCTTCACTTTTGGGTTTAGACCTTCCAAACACAGAGCAGGGAATTTGATGAGGTCAATATTGATGAGGTCAATATTGCAACCTCTGTGAGAACATGAGTATTTTGTTTGATACCACTACTTTAGAGGGCAATTTGTCTCTGAGAAAGCCTGACTTGGGCCCCAAGAGGATTCTGCACTAAAAGGGGCACCCAGACTTTGTCCTAGGCCTGCAGAAAGCATCTGCTCATCCTGCAGAGGAAGAAAGCAGTGAGTGACTGTTCTCAGACTGCAGAGCAGCAGCCTTTCCCACATGAATCTCACCTCACTTGAGAGTAAAATGGCATTTCCTACCAACTTGGTAAAGGTCATTCTTTACAAAGCTGCATTCTTTTCAAAGATGACCTAAACATGAAAAAAAAAATCAAAACACTTACTGAAAGGGTGAGCATCACAGAAAAATCAAAATATGAACATATACGTAAAGGGTTGGCAGTTGTAATTTTTTTGTAATTAATTTCTGTGGTTACTTAGCATTTTGGAGCAAAGGCAGTCATGAGAACAGAACACCCCTTCACTAAATGTCAGAGAAAACACTACTTATAACCACAAAGAAAAGGCTTTATACTAATAATACACTCACAAAATTCAACACTATCAGATAAAACAAAAATATAAGAACTTTCTATTTTTACATTTCATGAATCAGAAAGGTCACAAGCCCAATATAAAAAACATGCCTTGCAGGCATGAAGGGTAAAATCCTGAAGATGAGATGTAGTTTATCAGAAAATATTGTACAATGCCTGTCACAGAAATGTGTTCTTAACATAATAAAGCAAATCCAGGAGAGATTTACCACCTGTCCTTACCCCTCTTACTTCACCATTAGATGTTCACTCATCCATCTCTTAGTGGGCAGTTTTAAAAGCATCTCTCTGTCACTTCCATGCTATTCCCCTGATCTTCCATGCTGAGCTGATCCATTTGCTGAGCTGGAAGGAGCAGAGCTGCCTCCCTAAGTTACTGAGTACACGTTCCAGTGCCAGCAGGAGACAGGCAGAGAGGAACAGTAGGATTTTAAAGACAGAGGGGAAGAGGTCTGAAAGTAGTAAAGGACTGAAAGGAGAATGTTTGACAAGCTTCTGACACCCACTAAATTTAAAAGAAAGTTGATAAGTAGAGGCAGAAAAGGGAAAAAAGCGTTTGTGGGTAGAGGAGATCATTGGGCAGATACTAAGTTTTGAACAAGTCAGTGCCAAGTAGAAAAAGGAACTGGAGACAACAGGCATGAGGGGAGATCTGAGCAGAAGTACAAAGAGTGAAGTATTAATAGCTGTGCATTAAAGGTCAAATCCTACAGACTGTTTAGACTTTGGTTCTTTCATTTATAATTGCTTAACCTT